GGTCGAGCTCAGGGAGCAAGTGGCTGAGAGGCTGTGGCTGGGCCTGTGGCTTGGGGGCCGTGGGGCCTGCGTGCTCGGCCGACAGGGATCCTGACACTGTGGCCTCCCTGCCTCCAGGAGGCCAGGCTTCTCCCCAGCCATGGCCAAGGTCACCCTCCAGTCCGCCATCCAGACCCAACCCTGTCGGGTGCTTCTGGCTGGACAGGATGCTGGCTTTGGCGTGTCAGCCTTTAAAAACAACACAGAGGGGCGCCTGGGGGCTCAGCAGGTCAAGCCTGTGGCTCTTGATCTCGGCTCAGGTCAAGGTCTCGTGGTTCATGGGATGGAGTCCTGTGTTGGGCTCTGTGCTGATGGCTCGGAGCCTGCTTGGGATTCTCTCTCCCCCTCTCTCTCTGCCCCTCTCCCCTGCTCTTTCTCTCTCAAAATAAATAAACTTAAAAAGTATAAAAACGGCACAGAATGGGCCAGCTCCTGCTTTGCAGCCTCATCTCGGCCCACGCGGGACTCAGAGCCTGCAGCCGCTGGCCGTCCCTGACCTGGAGGGAGGGGAGGAAGGGGGGGCGGCTGCATTGGCTCCTGGCTCAGAGCACAGACACCGCATCTGATCGTTTCACTGGGTGTCTGTGTCCCCGACTCCCTGTCCCGTGCTCAGAGCACGGGGACGGCTCAGCAGACAGGCTTGCGCGCTCCCGCTTGGCTCACATGGCAACACCTCGCGCGCTCACAGTCGGCTTGCACGCCTCACACTGGCAGCCACACCGATGGGCCCGGCCTGTCTGCCCAGCAGCGGGTGAGTACTGTGCGCGTGGTCACTGATGCCAACCTTTTGAGGACAGCCTCACAGAGCAGGCGCAGGTGTGGAGACTGAGGCTCAGAGAGGTCGGGGACTGTGGCCAGGGTCACACAGCTGGCAGGTGGCAGAGTCTGGTCCAGAGCAGATGTGCGCACAGACACGGGGAGCTGTCACATTCCGGAACGACGGGGGAAATCGACTGGGTGAAAGGCAGTGACAGACAGGGGATGGTGCCTGCCCCCAGGGGAACAAAATCGGAGAGTTAAGAATCAACATGGAAAACCCCACAAACTGAGAAAGGGGCGAGGAGCCTGCTCGGGCGGGTCCTGGAGGAGGAAGAAAATGCAGAAACAAGTGCAGCTTCATCCTTCAGGGAGTCAGGGGAGCGGAAACCAGGAGCGACTTTTTCTGACTCTCGAGACTGGGCCTGAGCAACACCTGGCGAGGGAGGAAGCTACCCTGTGCGGAGGGCACAGCCACCGGGGCGACTCGCACGTGTCTGCAGGCGCCCGGAGGGCAGCCCTCCGCTTCTGGATGTTTGCGTTGGTGGAGAAGGGGCGCCCCAAGCACTGATCACCGCCAGAGCCGACACAGGGCTGAAGTGCATCAGAGCAGGACGGAGTCCTAGGGAGATGTGCGCCCCGTGGCCAGGACTCCCCACTGTCAGAGCCCACAGCCAGGGACCCCCACTGTCAGAGACCATGGCCAGGGCCCCCCACTATCAGACCCCATGGCCAGGGTCCCCCCACTGTCCCCTGCCAGACCCCGTGGCCAGTTGCCACCTGCAAAGTACTGGTGGTGCATGGACTCTGTCGGCACGAGTGTGTCAGGCACAGGCATGCCAGAGCTCACTGCTCACGGCCCGTGTGCGCACACCGAGAGCACACACACTTCCCTGAGAGAGGCGGGGGAAGAAGATGGGGGGGCGGTCTAGGCATAAGTATAGGGGCGGCTGTGACACACGTAACGTGTGATGACAGCAGCGGGAGGCACAGGGAGCAGTGTCTGCGGGAGGCCCTGGGCCCCGAGGTGTCGGTCACACGGTACCTGTGTGTTCCAGAGGCTGGTCGGCAAGCGGGGAAAAGGGAGACGCAGCGGAGATCTGCCCACGGTGCGCGGCGAGCACAGGCGGAGAAGCAGTCCCAGGACGGCCCGGGATGCCCCCTGGGGCCTCCACACCCCTCGGGGTGAGCTGGGCAGCGTGTTCACCCCGACGGGGGGTCTGGGCCACTGTGGCCTCGCCCTCCAGCGCCTGTGCCACATCCCCTGGGGACAGCTGTCCCATCCTCTCTTTCAGACTTCGTCCTGGCGGGCGCTGCTGGGGGCTGTGAAACCGGGTGCCAGGGGCAAAGACGTTGTCCTCAGCCAGAGTCGAGGCGGCTTCCCATCTGGGCCTCAGCCTTGGCCTCTAAAGATGTGAGCAAGCACCGAGAGGCCACGCCCCTGGGGGCCCCTGGCCCCCAAGTGCCTGCCTGGCCGTGTGTCCCGGCCAGCACCCCAGACGGGCCCAGATGGCCGTGTCACAGGCATCTCGCCTTCCCATCTTCGGTAAACCTCCACCTCCCGGGCTCTGTTGAGGCCCCCTCGTCCCTCTCCCTGGGCCTCACTGTCACCCCAAGGCCCAGGCCCCTCTGGATGATGGGTCATTCACGCCAAGTTCCACTAGACTTGACCCTCCTCCCTACCACACTGGTTACTGCTTGGGAATTCTGTCCTCACTGCTTCAGCACAAGTCTGTCTCTTGTTTTGTTTTTTTAATTTTTTTAAATGTTTTTTATTTATTTTTGAGAGAGTGAGAGACAGTGTGAGCAGGGGAGGGTCAGAGAGAGAGGGAGACACAGAATCTGAAACAGGCTCCAGGCTCTGAGCTGTCAGCACAGAGCCCGACGCGGGGCTTGAACCCACGAACCGTGAGATCACGACCTGAGCCGAAGTCAGACGCTCAACCGACTGAGCCTCCCAGGCGCCCCGAGTCTGTCTGTTTATCTCTGACGCTGGTCACAGGCAGAGCAGGCAAAGATTCAGGCCCTGGTGACCTTGGGAAGCCTCAGCCAGGCCACAACCCCGGCGGGCCGTGCTGTCCCCACTGGCACCATGGCACAGATGTCCCCAAGGGCTGAGTGAGAGGGAGGAAGAGGTCCCGTGCCCTCCCCGGGAGGCGCATCCGGCTGTGTGTCAGAGCTAAGAGGACCTGCCTGGGACTCTGCCTCCCATGCGGCTGTGAGAGGTTCGGGTGAGCTGTCCCCGCGCCCCTCCCATTCCCAAAACAAGCGCCGGGTGCCACCTGGCTGACTTAGTCCCACAGAACCGGCTGTCTCCCTGCCTGGCACAGAGGTTACCGTCCCCCCGGACGTTACCTGCTCCGAACCCCCCTTGCTCCTGGGCGTGCGTGCGCTGCCCTGTGGGGTGCGTGGCCGGCCCTCCTCCTGGGCCCGCTTTCCAGCAGAAGTGTCCCAAGTTCAGACACAGCAGCGGGGTGGGGGAGGGTGGCGGTCAGCTGCGCACACCGGGGCCACGGGCCTCCGTGCCCAGGTTCCTGCTTCACCGCAGCCCCCGGCCCTACCCACACGGGCTGTGTTCTCGGAAAGGAAAGAATGAGCGTCAGATGCAGCCGGCCTGGCTTGGCATCTCCTGTGCTCCCCGCCTCACCCGAGCAGGGTCCCTGTGCCCAGCGCCTCCTCCGCCAGGGCCTCCATCCCTCCGGGGTCTCCGGGGCAGCAGGGGTGAAGCGGTGGGTCCTCATTATGCGTATCAGGTTCTGGAAAGAACCCACCTCCTGCCTTCTCTCATCCAAGGCCGAGCAGGGGGATGCGGCCTTCCGGAAAGCCGTGGGAAGACGGCCCTGTGCCTGCCAGCCTCTGCCCACGCCGCGCACGGCCATGGGGCGGGGAGGGGGCGGCGCTACTTCCTTACTGTCCCCCACCCCCCGGGCCTGCGGTGTGACGCTGCTCTCTCAGGCAGCAGGACCCAGAGCGGCCCGGGGCTTCCCACGCACACGCCAGGCTGGCCCAGGCCGGTCCTGCCGCCGAGGGGGGTGATGTCCTGGGCACGCCACTGGGGTCCTCACCGCCCCGCCTGGCCCTGCAGCCGGTGGCTAGCAGTGTGAGGGGCCATGGGGTCGGCGTGCAAGTGTCATCAGGGTTACTGACGGCCTTTCCGCTGGAAGTAAAATCATCTCGGGTCCAGCAATTTCCCCGTAGCATCACACTGGCATTCTGGGGGTGACTGGGTGACTGTTGTACTTACTCTCCCGGAACAAGCCTCCTTGATCACGCCAGACCCCCCCCCAGGTCCCAGACCCCCCCCAGACCCCATACCCCCCCAGGTCCCACACCCCCCCAGGTCCCACACCCCCCCAGGTCCCAGACTCCCCTAACCCTAACCCAGGTCCCAGACCCCCCCAGGTCCCAG